AAGATAAGACTGATGTACCTGCATAACAAGCCTGTTATTCCACTGAGAGATTTCTGGTTTATAACCAGGAAAGCTGAGTTAGGGTGGTTTGCAGTTTCAACAGAATCCCACACTACGGCAATGCAGTTCTTCCACCTGACTGCATGTTTAATACAGAGGTATCTGGAACAGTTAAACAATATTTTTAGGGTCTTTTTTTGCTTGTTTGTTTAAAAAGGACAATGGAGAGCTTATTTTGTTGCCTATTACATTTCTAAATTAGAAACTGAGAGCTGAGTGAACTGTCTGCAAGTGTGAAGAACAATTAAGCAGCACAGTTCAGTTAGCAGTTTTAGTAAAAAACCTGGCTTCTACTCACTCTCACATTGGTGTTGGCCTCAAAGGTTTAAGATAAAACAGGCCTACAGTAAGGCAGTTCCAAAAGAGAGGGAAAAAAGCTGAAATCACCCCTCTGCCAATGAGGACTAACAAAAGCCTGCCTTGATCTGTTGGATTAACCTGGAACCCAAACAGTATCTGAAATGGATGCTAATGGCAGGGAGGGGACAGAAACCCAGACCAAGAAAGTGCAGAACAGAAGACTTCAGGAATGAGCAGCAAAGGAGAAAGAATAGAGTAAATCTTACCACTGAAGAGGTGGATTATTGCTGCTGATGGCCAAATGTGGAAGTGTTGCAGTAAAAGGCATCCAAGCAACAGGGATCAGACTGCTCAGTTTTTATATTTCTAAAGGTTTTTGTATAATATCCACTCAGGCATCAATCACAACTTTATTAAACCATAAAACAGATGTCAGATCAATGGCTGTATCAGAAACATTTTGAATGACAGGCTGATGATGGAAAAATTCCAGCCTCCATACATTATTAAACATATACTAATGCGGCTTTTTCAATGCTACCCTTACAGACTCACTCTATTCTCCCTCTATGGTACCTTTCTTAATAGCAAACCTAACTGTAGATGAATATTACATAGGAAAAACAAGACTTACGGTAATAAATAATAATAAACTAGTAAACAAAAGAAAAATTTCAAGGTTAAAGCCAGTTGTCTGTCTTCATATTATGTCTCCTGACATTAAAATTTCACTTTAATACAATTGTAGGAGCTGAGGCTGGGTTGTCACGTCAGTCTTAATCAGAATATCCATTTATCGCCTTTTTGCTGTAATCTTGACATAATTTAAGCTCAGGTTTTCTTTACATATTTGCCCACAGCCAGCACACTCATGTAAATACTTTCTGCTCATTTTGAGTGAAGAGGTATGTATGAAAAATATATATAAATATGGCAGAAATTGTCCCTCTGGCAGATTGTTTGCTTAACTCCAGACTTCAGGCAGATTTGGGAGGGTGATCAGAGCTGCACACTTGCCTTTCCATTCATCAGTAACGTAAACTGTATTTTCACTGGCAGAAATCAATTTGATTTTCATAAAGGCAGAAAGGAACTGCGTTCTTGCTGGGTGAAGCACAAAGCACAGCAATTGGGAGATGCAAATGCTCTATGAAACTCGCTCAGAGCACATGAAGATGGGGTTGCCTTGCCACAAAATGCAGACCATTACCTCCTCTCTTCCCCTGGTGCCCTATACCATCCTTAGGGCTGGAATATTTGCCGCGGCTGTATGTTTTCATGAGGTGGGCAGTGAGATCAAGTAAAGATAGATTTGCAGCTTTTCACTTGGCTTGGCATCTTAATAGTCTTACTGCATCCTCCTGATTAGATGAGTGTGTAGTATAGCAGAGATGTCTGATTTTATTAATTATTTATTATATATAAAATTTTGGGGGGCCAGTAACTGAAGGCTTTCCATAGCACAAGGGGAAGGCAGCTGGCTGTGAGTGGAGCTGTAGGAAAACACCTCTGTTTCAGCTGCTGAATTGGATGCTGCCAGCTGGAAGTGAGCAGACCTGCCAGCATTTAGCCAGAAATTACCCTCCTGGCCTGGTGACTAAATAATCAATTGCAGACAGGGATGGAGGCAGCTGCCCTTCAAATCTCCCTGGGGTTTTAACGTGTGCTTCAGGGCTGAGGGGTAAGAACTCAAATCCAGTTTTTGGTGTTGAGGCAGGAATTAGTAGAGGCCAATCTTACTCTGGTAATTCACCTCTCTGAAGGGCCAAAGAGTGCTCCTCTGTGAAGGGTCTCTCCTCTGGAATGGCTTCAGCCTGGACAGAGTATTTTAATCATTTAGAGAGCATCAAAAGGCAGAGTAATTCCCACAAGATATGAGGCATGCATAGGCCGTTATGCTATTTCTCTAGCTTACTCTCTAGAGAACAGATTTTCTGGTGGAGCAATGTTTTAGAAACCCAGCATTCATCCTGAATCAGGCAAGTTTGGAAGTGGGTTTCAAGTCAGCTCTTGCTTAAGTGACCACAGAGGTCTGTTTTGACTGAAAAATATGTTATGTTAATTAGCAAAATGGTTTGTCTAAGGAAGTGAATGTATGAAAGCCTTTTAATAAAAACTGCTTTGCATACTGCAAGCTTTTAAATTAAATTGGGACAGAGTTACAGCCAACACCAAGCAGAATTGTTTGTGGCTTTTTGGCTTGTTTGCTTAAAAAAAATCTGTCTGGTTTCTTGAAAGATAGCTGGTGGGTCTTTATGGCACCCTGTTGTACAGTTTTAAGGACAAAATTTAAAAATATGTTCATAACAGAAATGTATGGCTTATGTCTTATATCTTCCATAAAACCTAGTCCTGCTGAGGTACTCACAGTAGCATGGTTTGGACTTGGCTCGATTAGTCATGGCTTAAACTGCAAGCTCTCAATGCTTCTCTCTCTGGACTGAAATTCAGACTTCAGAATAAACGAAGTAAAAATATCTCTAAATAAATCATATCTCTAAATAGGTTGCCCATTTTCCTCTCTTTTTTTTTTCCTCTTACAGAACAGGAAGATTCAATTTCAAGTCAGAATGAACGCATTCAACAAAACTGCTACAAGCAGCCCAAATCCTGAAGTTCTCCACTCTGCTGGAGAAATTCCCAGTGAGCTCCATCATTTTGTTCCTTGCATGAGGACTTTAACTGAATATGCTGCTGATGGAGGTTTTTATCAAAGAGAAATCCTCTATGAAATAAAATAGGGTGTCATTTGAGATTTATGAAAAGCTCCTGGATACTGTAACACCCATCAATCATTTACCCTTTCTACCTCTTAAAGTTTTCTGTAAATGAGTTAGGAGTTTTAAAGACAGAAAACATAAACCTATATAGCACACCTCTGAATGTATGTCAAGAAGTTGTCATGGAATGCTGTGACCTTGAAAGATAAGACTGTGTAAAGAGCTAGGAAAAGGAAGGAAAGGCTTTCTTTAGTTTCAGTTGCAGTAAAATAAGTTCAGGATCTTATTATCATCCACCAGATCACCTAGTGCCCTTCAGAGTCCTTCCTCTGCCTCCCTAAATGGATTTGTTTCTATGACTTTGTTACTATGAGCATTGTAATAGTGATCTCAAGTCAGAAGAGAAAACTAGCTGGGAATTTTCTAGTTTGCATTAAGTTTATGAGAAACCAAGTGCATAAGACAATGTCTGCAAGAGTCATGGAAATTAAAATGACAGAGAGAAGAAAAAAATCAGAGGAGCTGCCCAGCAGCAACTAGAATTCATTTTTCATTTCCTTGTCTTAATTTTTAAACACACTTTTGAATCAGTAATCACACATGCAGAAATTCTTCAGTATTTCTAGTATTTTCTTTGATTTCATCTCTTCAGAGAGGAAAAATGCTGATATTAATTTTGAGATATAATTCCTACTTCTTTTGATTGTTGAATGAAACATTTAAAGTAACAGGAATAAACAATGAACCATCATATTCAAGTTTCCTCAGAAATAAATACAAAAGTCTCAGATCTCAACAGAGTGTTTTTTTATGGAGAGAAAAGAGGAGTAAGAGGAAGAGAAGACCCAATACAGTGAGTTAAATTACTTCGTAAGGATGCAACTTAATTCAATATCTTATTCAATTTTTAAAAAAAACCAACAAACCAAACACTAAAACAAAAATTAAAGTTGGAAAACTGTGTTCCTATAGATAAGTACCAAGTAGTGGTGAAATAGAAAAAAAAAAGTAAATGCATAACAGGTATTTCATATGACTATTACGTAAAGTACATGTGTGCTAAAGACATGTAAGTGTAATGTTTATGCCTGCATTTTCATAAAAATATACACATACATGCAACATGCACACATTCACGTGTCAAACCACCAAGTATTATATGTAGGCTGTTCTATTTTAGGAAAAATTCAGAGCGTTTTAATATTTTTTTATTAAACGTATTTTTTGCCTTTCTCTGACTCCTGGAGAGTTAATTGAGTCTGACTTACACAGCTTAAAGAGAAAATGATTGTTGAAATATGCATGTTTAAATATAATATACTGGAAACACAGCTGACCTTGACCCAAGGTCATTTCTAAGCCTGGAGCAAACTATGCATGGCTGGCTGCTATGGGTAGAAGTGAGTACTGGATCCTATCATGCAGCTAGAACTCCCATTTCCCAGTGGTAGAACACTTTGTAGATTGAGAAGCAAACAATTTCTGATTAAAATCCAAATTGATAGAGAGGTACTTCCATATTTACATGAGAAGTAGTACAGATAATTCCTGCTAAGTACAGAGCAGGTTTTGTTGACCTACTGTTTTACTACTTGTACTTCTTTGTCAGTTCTGTTCTTCTAATACCTAATGGCAGCTGTATGAAGGTTTTAGAAACATCTGCAGATACATGTCTGTGTGACATAGCGATATGAGGATATGGGTTGTGTAGTACATCACGTTTGGGTCATGATGAAGGGCAGTTTGATGTGTTTGTCTCAACAGGGCCAGACATCTCAGGACATGGAGAAAAACCAAACTAAAATATGGCAATATTAAACTGCAAAAAGGTGAAGCATTGAAAACTCAAGAGTAGTAAATTACTTGGAGAAACTCAGTAAGCTTTAAATGTTTTGTAATATAGAAAGTAAGCAGTATAACCTATGATCTTACCGTTCCTGTTGTGCCCAAGGAAAGGTGGTTCATCTGTTGGGTCAGAGGGCCCATCATGCTTGCTGGCTGCATTGACATAGTGTGGTCCATTGTTGGTGTTATCACAGCACCCTACAAACATACATCATTTACACTTCAATATTTATTTACAAAACAAGCAAACAAACAAACAAAAAACATTCTCTAAATGAGTGAACCTGGCTGAAAACTTGACATGAATCTTAAGAGACTAATATATCTGTCAGAGGAAATATGTTTTGTTCCTATTGACAACCAAGCTACACACATATATTATTTGTACTACTAATGAGGCCATTTTATGTCAGTTCCAATTAAGTGTCATTTTTCACTTCATTGCTTCTGACAAACAAATGCATATGTTCTTTCTATGATGAATGCTACTGTACATTGCAAAATACCTGTCTTTTCTATTTTTCCATAGCCTATATAGAATAATTTTACAAACAGAACACGTGTCCCTAATTATCCCCTGACTTCCAAAACCTTCAGTCTCTGAGATCTTCAGCCTATTATGATAATTATCTTGTATTTCTCCAGTCTCAATTAAGGACCCTTATGCATGACATTTTATAGCTGATTAAGTAAGACTAGCTATTGACAGAAAGTTTGGTAGTAGCACCCATTTAAAACACATACACAGCCTTTAAAAGCATTTTTCTTCTCCGCATGAAACACAAAGACATTTTAATAACAAACAGCATATGAACTAAAACAAGAACACAGCTTTGAACAAAAATGAAACAGAAGACATGCCAGAGGAGCTTTGGAGAAAGCTTCTTTGCCATTCCTATTCCTTGGCTTTTTGCTCTCCCACTCCCCAAGGTCCCATGTTGGTAACCTCATGGCTTAGTGGAGTGTTGATTTTCTTCAGTTCTACGGTGTGAAATGCTACTTCCTGTGTTGGTTAGAGAAAGTCAGTCAGAAACAGAGTGGTCTGCTCTTTCTCTTACAGACAAATAAGGAGGCATTGCCAGCTATTTCTTCATATGAAATAATAGTTCTATGTGCGTATGTATGTTTGTGTGCATACATTATAAATTTACACAATTACACTGCATCTTCTACAAAGTGTGGAAAATGTGGATGAATGTATTTGTTTAAAAAAAAGGAATATTGACTTTTTTTCCATCAAGGTCAATGACAAAATACACCTATAAACAAGAATTTAAAACAAATTAGTTCCCAAGACCAAAGCACATCTGTTTTTAAGTGTCTGTCTCACATTTATGTAGAGTTATGTGACTGCATTGCCAAGAATCTGATTAGAAGCAAAAGATTTCAAATTTTCAGTTGCAAATAATAAAATAAACAAAAATAAAAAATGCTGGAGAAGTACCAATTCCATTTTTTTCCTCACCTTCCAGCAATATTTTGTCTATGTATATCCTATCTGAGAAGCGGAGACTCTGCAGTCTCTGTGAAGTCATTACTTGCATGCAATGGTAAAGAGGAGGTAGGCTTTGCTTGGTCAGTCTTTTTTGTAATACCCTCAGCATACAAAATTTATACACACTTGTTTTATGTCACATAGTGGATTATGTTTCTTGCACTGACAAGAGTCCCTAGGGAAATTTGGCAAATTACAGAAACTAGCCTCCACAGAATATCTGTCATGATTCCAATCAAATGCTTATAAAACAAGCTGATTGGTGTGCAAGTATCAAACCTGCAACACTTGCGAACACTTTTGCCTCTTTCTTGGCTATATTAATTTGCACTGGTTCACACAGATTGACCCACTGATTAACTCATCCTAATGAACTACCACAATGCTAACCTTCTCCTGCGTTGGCATGGGTCCTTAGAAATCAAGATAGTCACAAACTTTCACCACAAAGTTTATTTGAGCATAGTAGGGTTAACATATTATTCAAAAAGCCCTTCTTTCTACCTTACATGACACTCTTCTCTTTCATGCTGCTCCTCTCTTTTTGCTGGAAAAGGAGTCCAAAAGCAAATCTGTGGGACAAAAACTCATTCAGCCTATTTGGCAGGCCCTGCATAGCAGATTTGGTTGAAGAGTTTAAAGTAGCACCATGCCCAAGGAAAATTATCTTTTTCTTGTTCAAAACCAGTGGCCTGGGACACCAGGGCTACTCCTGATGAGGAGCATGCAGTCAAAAAAGGTTCTGGGGTTTGGACATCCATCTGCACTTTTTGTAGGAAATCAGAAGTTTTATGCTCAGAATGATCCACACCACAAACCAGCATTTTTACTGCACCAAACCATGAGTGCTTGAGCTGAATTTGTCAACTGATAAAACAGCTCTCAGTTCCCTCTGGGAGCAGTTTTCTTCATTGGCTTAGAGATGGACAAATGCCTCAGGGCTTTCTGTGACAGACAACGTGAGCTCCCACTTGTGATGTGTGATGCGGTAAGCAGAAAGTCATCCCCGCATCACAGCTTCATGCAGCCCCACACTGCCAGTTGTAGTGGCTGCAATTAATTTAAGGTGTCCCAAAGCCCTAAGATACCAAGATCTCTTTGCAAAGATGTTTATTGCAAAGGTATTGGTTGGAGGAACTTGCTGTAATTACAGATGTGACAGACTGATAGCCATTCCTGTGTATAAATTCAGGAACCTGGATATGAAGGAGGGGCAGCGGTGAAGGAAGTTTTATGATTTAGTGTAGCAAACACAGATGTCAGGCACACAGTGGAAAAATCTGAAAGCAAATGTCTTTCAGTAAATAAGTAAGCAAGACAGGTTTTGCAAATAAACTATTTAAAAAATATATGTACCGGAGATAAAATATATCAAGGACAAAAATAACGCTCAGAGACAGCAAACATATTATTTTTAAAGAGAAAATACATATATTCTAGTACCTAAACATATACTGTTTAATACGTTAGGAAAAGAAGTTGGAAAAACAAATCAAGTATTTGCAGCTTTCCTAAAACAGCTTAACGTGTTTGAAGCTGACAGTTACCTAGAGCAGAGAATTACATGCATTTGCCAGACCATTAATTCACCAGAGTTTGCAGAATCCTCTTGTGATCACGTAGGGAAAAAATTATACTTAATTAAGGAAATATCGTCTGGTTGTTAGGGCGACACCCAGTCTCCAGACCATAATGCGTTTCATAATGCATGCTGTCAAGTCCATTCATATTCAACTTATTTAGCTATAGAAGACAACGTCTTGCATCAGATGTTGCCATCATATTCAAAGTAATTTGATTCTTTTCAGCCTATGATGTGTATTTGCTGATAAATATCCACTTGGTGACTCACAAAGCCTACAGCAAACATATTTTTCAATTTCTTCTGTTTGGATGTCTGATTTTACTGAGTTTGTAAACTGTAGAGAGAGACATCTTAACATGGCATAATACTACTGAAGGCCCAGCTTATTTGAAAAAAACCTGTAGAAGAAATTATGATGAGGTTTTTGCCACTGGTTTTGCCAAAACAAGTAGTTGGCCTGCCAATTAGTTAGGTCTGCCCTGTTGCCTCAGTATAATTATGGTTTTTTTTAATTCCTGCAAGAAACTAGTTACTATAATGACTTTTAAATTCGGCAAGATATTCTTGGCATGTGACTTGTACAATTCTGTCAATGCTATAATGGCTTTAAAAGAAATTAATATTAACAGGTCAAATGGAAAGGAATCAATGGCACAGAAGAAAATGCACAATTTTTTCAACACGACGATAAACCCAAGTTCATTGACATACAGCCTTAATTACTTTTCACTTTATTTGAAAGACCTTGCTGTTTTAAAATGCTTTAAGCAATGTGGATTTACCTTTCACATAAGAAAGTGAATATATTTATTTCAGAATATTTTCTAGTCTATCACTTGCAAAGAAAAAAAGCCTGACCTTATCAACAACAAATACTGCATGCTCCCATGCTGTATGGGAGCCAACTGAACTCACAGGAAGGACACTAAATACAGTCTGTTTATTATATTAAGTAAACTATCTTTAAGTACTTGTCAATACCAAAATGTAAGAGTAAAGTTCATGTTAGTGCAATGACACATACCACCTTAAGTGCCTTGAAGGGTGGGAAAGTGACATCAGAAATAAAAAGCATATTAAAGGGCTTTAGGAACAAAGAGTTCACTAGTTGAGAGAGGCACTTGGAGGCCAGTGGGAGGAAGGATTAGTTAGTCCCAGCTTTCTAGAATAATGAACTGTATTAAAGGCTTCTGTTTTATTCCAGTGTTCTAATACTGATATTGGACTTAAGGCACAAATACCGGCTGAATAAATAATTTTCAAAGCTTACAGTAAGCATCTGTTTATTTTACAGTTTACATTTTCTTTATTTAGGAAGTTTTAACAAGTTAAGCATACTTACTAAATTCTACTTTGTAAATACTGCCCAATGTAAAGCTAATAAACATTACAGCAACGAACTTATTTTTCAAATTTGTTTACAGACACGTTGTGCAGCCATATAAGCTCCAGGTCATTCCATCTAAAAAGTTATTACCATACTACCAAGTGAATGTTTTTATGTTATCAAGAACATGTTGTTTCTTGAGGTTTTATTAAATTGAGTGAAAGGATGACTTTCCTTATCAGACAGATGTGTCAATCAAGAATTAATATGAAAAAACCCAATATACTTTTTTTTTTTTTGCAGATAAATGTACTTTCTCTGCATACTGAATAAATGATGACCGTATTTCTGTTGATTTACTGTTCTGTCTAGATTGACTTGTCTCATCTCCTTGGGCTCCCTCTTAGAGGCAGCAGAAAAATAGGGTCCCCTTGTCAGAGCAATAAGCCTGGTGAAGTATGCTGAACAGGCTGTTAAATGGCCAAACTTTTATGACTATAGTAGGAAGATTAAAGACAAATCCTCTCTGTCCTCTGTCATCAATTCAGTTGGGAATACTCTATATTCCACAAAAACCAATTGTATTTCAAAATCAAAGAAAACCTATTTTCCCTTTCTCAATGAAAAGTTACCAATTGCCTTGGCATTTAATAGATGATCAAAGATTAAATCATGATTTGAGCATGGTGAAGAAGATCAGCAAGCATCAGCTAATAACATATTCTGCAAATCTTGGGATTGGGTTTCATTTCATTACACTGTTGAATTTAAAAGCTTGCTGAAAATGGGGT